TCAGTTCCACCTTCTCACCCTGGCATAAGGAGCCCCCCTTTGGGGGCTGGTCTTCAGAGGTCAGATTCAGTTTCTCCAACACCTGCTCCAGAGACCTGGACACTTTAATTGGCAGCTGCTGTCTCAGCTCATCAGAGCTGCAAAAGAAATGCAGCATAAGGAGGCTGTTTTTAATGCCATGCTGAGGCCAGCTGTGCTCGTCCCTGCCCAGAGGTAGCAGGGGCAAATGCTCCCTGCAAACCTTCTTGGGCAAGGAGCCAACTGGTTCACCTGGGCCTTTCCCGCTGCATCTTCTCTGCTGACTTTGGTCCTTGGACAATGAGTTCCCTGCCTAGCTTGGCCACCAGCTTGTCAGAGGTCTCCACTTGGCTGAAGGGCTCAGAAGGCTTCTCACTGCTGTGACAGCCCTTGGTACAGCCCTGAAGGGAAGTGACAGAGAAAAGCCTGATGCATGTTTTGACCCCTTCACCCTGAAGCTTGTGCCCAGGCTGCTCCTGAAGCCCCCTGAGCCCAGTAGCCAGGACATGCATCTTACTAATTCTGTCCCTGATCTTTCGATGGGCAGTGGCTACAAACTGCAGAGACTTGCACCCTGCTGCTGCAATCATGTCATATGACAGATGCCCTCACAGCTTGGGGCCTCTCACCCTGTCAGATGAGCTTGGTACCAGCAGCTCCACAGCACCAGGTGCTTACAGAGGTCCTGGGGTGGAGGACAGGTAGTGCCATCCTGCAGTGACTCCCTATTTATCCAGCTGGACTGGCCTGGAATAGGGAAGGGGTGTTAGACATAGGGCCCATGAGCTGGATCCAGTCTGTGAGGCAGGGTCATCTGACCCATGGACTTTTCTGCTGCTCTTGTCATGGTGGCAGGGCTTCAGCCGTGGTGCTGTTGGAGCTGCTCACGGTAACTCTCATAGCGGTATTGACTGCCACTGTGGGAAGCCTGCCACTGCAGCCAGAGCTCTGGCCACTGTAGCAGGGCTTCTTCTCATGATACTGCTGGGGCTGCCCACATGAAATCCCAGCTGTGGCCCACAGACACCTGAAAAGCAGTGAATGTAACTGTCCAGTGGAACTGAGTTTGACGCTCCTGCAACTGGGGAAGCTGGGCAGGCAGGGCTGGGCTCAAGCAGACAGAGGATTTGGGGGTTTTGTTTCTGGGGACAGACAAATCAGCTGTCTAAGCCAGACAGGGGGATGTCACATACCTTAATGGAAAGGAATTCTGAAAAGTCGGTGGTTCTTTTCTTGCAACAAGACCAGCCCTACGCACAAGGGGAACACACACAGGATCAGATGTTGAATGTCCCAGGGGGCTCCAAATTGTGTGCACCAACACCCACTGTATGCCCGGCAGCCCCTTCCTCGGACCTGTGCCCCATGGGGTGTTCCCAGCACACACAGCTCATCCCAGCAGCTGCCTCAACTGCCTCGCTCACCTTCAGGGCATCGTGGAATATGGGGACGCCCGGGTGGTACACACAGGAACCTATGAGCAGAGACAAAGCGATCAGCAATTCACAAGGAATCCTGGCAAGGCCCAGAAATCCCAGTGCTCCTGCCAGGTCCAAACACCTGGGAACTGCCCCACAGGTGCTCCACTTGTCTTGAAGCCCATACCAGCCCAGCAAGACGCTTGTTTCCCTAGCACTGGACTATCAGATTCCACAATGCATCACTTGCTCCCTCTGCTGCTTCCCTTGACCTGTTGGTCTAGGCAGGCGCATTTGGGGACTGGTGTTCCTCCTTCTCATGTCTACATTTTGGCCCTAACAGGAAGGTCCTCCTGAGCAGTCACTGCTCCTGCAGACACCCCTGGCTTTTCTCCCCTCCAGCCCCAGGGACCAAAGGGATTGCTCGAGGCCTCAGGAAAACCAGTCCAGGCTGGAAAGGGGTCTATGGGAGAGAACCTACCTGGCATCCACCAACCACATCCAGCCCACAGATGCACACAACAGAGACCCTCCCCTGGCCAAAAGGGGACCCGGCCCTGGAAAACGCACCAAAGTAGTAGTGACCTGGGAAAATGCTTCCAGAGATAGCTGGGAGTGGGGACAGGTCATTTAAGGTCTGTCCAAGAACCCCAGGTTACCATAATGGCACCCTGCAGTTAACATCAGGCTTCTCTCCACATGCAGTTCAGTGGTGGGGCTTAGACGGCCACAGCTCAGAATGCAAAATCCCATTCTGCAGTTGGAAACGGCTGTTTTGCCACAGGCAGCTGACCTGACATCAGCAGGGCCCCAGCTCGCCAAGTTCCAGAAACCCCAATGGTTTAGTTTCCGTTACCTGGTACAAGGCAAAGGGACCTCCAGAACAAGCAGAGGGAAAAGGGCATAAATCTCAGCTCGCCTAATGCCTGCAAAACAAATCCACTTACCCTGGGAGTTCTTATCCAGGTCAAACCTTTGCCCACAGCCCTTATTGTAACACAGCAAAGCCATTTCTGTGGGTCACACACAAGGATCTCAACTCCTGCCCAGTGGCTGAAATGACTGCAAATCACATCCCCGCCTCCAGCAGCAATTAACTGAAACTGATTGTTCACCACCCAGCATCTGTGGCGAAGCTTCCAGCAAAGCAGGGGGGGGGGGAGGAAAAAGGGTATTTGTCTATCTTTAGAGGCAGCCCCGGGAGGTGGGGGGGTCTTTGGCAACCAGAGAGCAGCCCAAAGATGGGCATGCAGGCTCAGCAGCTGGCTCGACCTGTCTGTCACTCTGTCTAAGCAGGCATTTCTGTTCTGCCTCCCCATCCAGAAAGCAAAGAGGCAGAGCAACAACAGAAGGGGAAAGGAACACCACCAACTCGAGGAGGAGGCCAAATTTATCACCTGACTTCTGTGCCTCCATGCAAGGCACAAACCTCAGCCAGGAGCCTGCAGTGAAACTATGCTCAGCAGGATGCCTTCCCAGCCCTCCTTGCTGCATGCAACGACTCCAGGCTGTTCACTCTGCTTACAGCAACATGGCTGCTCCAGCAACCAGTTCATCAGACCTCTGCAAAACTAAGTGGGCTTTCACTCCTGCCTCACCATCTGCTTCAAAGATCTTTGCCTGAAAGTCTAGCTGTGAGTGTACGGAGGAATCTGGCCAGAACCCCTCCACTAACTAACCGGACAGACTCACAAAGGACCAACCCGCAGGTCTACTACAGATGCTGGTGCTTGGGTAGCACCCACATTTACATTTTCTAATTGCATCTTTCTCTAATTCCTCACCATGACAGGGAGGGGCTGGTTTCTGAGACAATAAACTAATGCAATGGTTCTCAACCTCTGTAGACGCAAGGCACCCCTTTGTTAGGCTCCAGATACCCTCAAAAATGCCATCTCTTAATTTTCACTTATTTTTCAACCATTGAAAAAAAACAGAGCAATAATTCTGTCAGAAAGAACTCCAAGAGACCACAACAGGACACCATGTTTTTACACAAGAATGTCAGCAGTGCCAGACTGGCTCAGACCAATGGTGCATCTAGCCCAGTATCCCGTCTCCAGCAGTGGCAGGACTAGATACTAGAGGAAGAGCATTGAACTGGACAGATCTAGAGTGATCTCTCCCTGGCATCCACAACTATTGGATGAGAGAAGCCAAAGGAAACTTCTCCACCCGTTTTGCTAAATAGCCAATAATAGATTGAGCATGCATGAATCTGTCAGGTCCCTTGTTGAACCTGGCTGTGCTCTCTGTTTCTATCGCTATGGATTCCTATTTGGAATCTCCAGAATTATCTTGCAGATCATGTTTGTACACCTAACAATGCTAGCACTCCACAGCACCCTTGAAGGGATCTCAGGACACCCGAGGGTGCCACAGCACCCTGGCTGAGAATCACTCAACTAAAGCATCTACTCATAGGTAAAAGCACATTCCCAGTAAATGACCCTGTTTCTCATCTCCCCAGCATATGGAAATGTTTGGCTAGGACCCAGAGAAGGTCTAGACATTACAGAAGAAAGCACAGGTTGCAGAAGAGCAGTGGAGAAGACATTCTGGAGAGTGCCTACCACATTCTTGGAGCAGCTGACCAGGTATGGCTGGTCCAGTGAGCAAGGGTGACTGTGGGCTACACAGACATCAGCAGATAAATAGTGCATATCTGGATATTCATAACCTTTTTGTACAGGGTTCCACAAGATCCAGCACAGAGCATATTCCATGGACATTACTGGGCCCTTCCACAGCATCACCAAGAGAGCAATCAGGCCAGGCTCAGCTCCAAATACTCTCCAGGCTGCACTGCCAGGTCCTCTGTCCTCTGGAGATTGCCTATTCTCAGGGTCCCATCAGCCCCTGGAAAAACAGAAAAGCCCTCTCCAAGCTGAGACTTTATTGAATTCCCACAAACACTCAGGAAGATTAGCTTTGTTATTTACACAAGGAAAAACATTTTGCACGAGCTGCTGAAGCCAGCAGGAGCATTGCAGTTCTCTCACTCCAGAGCACAGTTGAACACAGTAGCCTTGTTCTCAACAGACTGAACAGCACATGCCTTAGAGAAAGCAGCAGCCTAGGTCAAAGGGTGCATGGCTGCGCTCTCTAGGGGTGAGCCCAATCGCTGCCGCACTGAAATAGCTGAGCAGGTCACATGGCTCTTCTGATGATAGTCACAGCTGTCTGTCCCCACCCAGCACCCTGAGAAACTTCACACATGGATTTGGCCTTGTCAGCTCAAGACAAGTCTCATATACAGTTGTCCTGATGCCCCTCCTGGGATAAGGCTTTGACCTCCAATCTCAGGCCGTCCTGTCAAGCAGCTCCATTAGCCTTTTCCTGGTGACTTCATATGCAAGGAAGAGAGCTCCGTTGGAAGGGACTGCACGTATCACTGTGGGCATCAGTCCGCAGTAAAGAGGCACAAAACCTACAACACCAATGTCACAGTCACAAGGGTGCTCCATCCTCAGGCTGGGCAAACAGAGCTTCTGGTAAGGAGTTGGCCATGGTCCAAGCCAGGAGACTCCACCACAGGGCCGCTAGAGACCTCCTCCTAGCTGTCCTCGAAGGGACTCCCACATAGGAGCCCTGGAAGTGGACTTGGGGACTCTGGCTGTCAGGGTCACTCACCTTCTGTCCTCAAAATGTGCAGTAAGGAGAGCAAGAAGCCATCCTGCCGCCCCGCCATGGACAGCACCTGGATCCGCGACTTCACCGAGTCGATGGGATAAACAGCCAGCCAGAAACAGGCGCCCCCA